AATTTAACACATTAATTTAGATTTTAAAAATAATGCATATTTTTCTACCACCCTTTAATGTCTCCATGCCACCTTCTTGCCACCCCATGAATATTTCTCTAGATCTACCTCTGGTTAAGGCTAGCTGTTACTATAGCTAGTCAGTTAGTTAACCTTTTAACAAACATTAACTGTGAACTAACAATTTAAAGCTCTACATTAGCAACATTAGCATGATCTCAATAAATGAGATGGATCACTAAGCATCATATGGTAAGTACAGTAATCTAAACATTGCTCAACAAATTTGACTTCTCTCTTTAGAGCCACTTATTTTAAGCGTGTTCTAAATTGCTTCATTTAATGTTAAACTCTTCTAATGAACCATCAACTTCATACCTCTACAAATCAAAATATGAAACTTCACATCATTTGTTCTGACATAGTGGCTGATGTGCGCTGTTTGAAGCAAGAAGTGGGTGAAAATTGTTGCTTTCATCTACAGCAGGATGCCAGCCCTTTGTTCTTCCTTCAGCTTTCTCTCAGTGGATAAAGTGACACTTTATTTCTGCATTACGTATTACCAACTTATTGCTGCTATTTTGTTAAGAAGCAGCATATCAAATTTGGTGCAAACCTATCCACTAGTAACCACATGCCTAACAGGTAATGTAATTTTGAGAAAAAGTGTTTTTTTTCCACATTGTGCTAAAAGTATGTTTAATTTAATCTGCACTCTAAGCCCCTGATGCAGCGGGCAGGGTAAATGTGTAGGTTGTGTTTCTTCATTGTTTTCTATGCTTTATAAAACTGCAGCAATTAAAGTTTAGGCAAAAAATAAAGTCATATCACATAACTGACCAATGGAGGCACAACATTCAATCTCACCTGGTGTCTTTCTTCAAATTGGCAAAACAAATAGTTTTCCTGAGACAATTTTTGAGAAACCCAAAAACTCATGTTTTTTAATATATTCTCAAATATCAGAAGTGACTTCATGCTAGTTACATTAGCTTTCCTTAAAAGAGGAGATATTGTTCTCATGTTTGAATTGATTCCTTGTCTGTGACTAAATGATACAGTTTGACTGACGGGTGCTGTCATCATGTCCAACGGGACTTAAGTGAAAGGCTGCCTGTCACATAATTTTACAGACTGGGCTAGAGTTTAACACACACACATACATCAACACACAAATATGCATGCACGTTCAAGATATTAACAAATAAAATAAGAAGACAAAAGATAGTGGGCCACCTGCAGGTGTCAGAAACCCCCAAAAAGACTCTTTAAGACTTTAAAATTAAATGGAAATCTAATTTACTCAGCATAATAAAGTACTGGCAATCTGTTTAGTCAATTCCCGATTGAACACAGCTAATTAAAGTTCTGAAACAATGGAGAGAAAAAAAAATAACGAAAGGAAATTAAGTGTTAGGGGACACAGGGTCTCACTGATGCAATGAGAACATGTCTGGAATACTGTATTAATCCTATTCTCGTTTAATCAAAGGTTTCATTCACAATTTGTTAGATGTTTCTCCAACATTTAATATCCAGCTGAATATAGAAAGTTACACTGAGAGACAATAGGGAGAAAAGTGATGACTCTAGTTATCTGTGCATTACTGTATTTAGCTTTTTTAGCTATTTAAGACCTAAAACATTTTAAACGTATCATTTACACATAATCAGCGTTATCATCAGCAAAACAGAAATTTCCACACAATCATTTCAAAAGCTTAATGCAATATTTTTTCAACTGTATTATATGACAAGAAAAACATACCAATAGCTAATGAAATTAACATTTGTGCTTATACTGTTTATTAACAGACTCAGTCAAGTTAGATTTTTTCCAGCCTAGCCATATTTCTTCTCTCTCGCTTGAGTTACAAGCTCTATGAACACAAATTCCCTATTATTTTAGTTTGTTTTCAGTTTATTGTTTTTTACCACTTTTTTCCTTTTTATATAAATGATTGAATACATTTTAAAAACAAACAAAAACTGCAGTGAATTTAAAGCTACTATGTGTAGAATTTAAAATTCCAGACTTTTGTCCAGTTCCTCATCTGTTCCCATGTGTATGTTTAAATCACAGATGATAGATGATCATAATAAATAAAGAGCATTTTAGCATCTTTCAGCTAAATCTTTTGCTTTTAATCCTCACAATTTTATGGTTTGGGTTCACTCTCACTGTTTCAGGCAGAAAAAGCCTAAACAAGCCGCTGTACACAAGCTGTCCAGTATCAAACAGCAGACAGGCAAATTTAGATACTAACTGGTGATCATAGCTGAGCATTTAGCAACTAAAAAGTTAGTGGAGACTAAAAACAGAGCTAAAACAGAGAGAATAATGGACTTACATTCCCTTGGTAGCCAGAAAAACAATTTTAAAATGGCTGACCGCATTCCAACACTTTGATAATTTCTTCTTTAATCTTTAGTTAGGCATTTTAAAGCTCTGCAGATCCCCTGTTGCTGGTTACTTACAGCTATGGCAGGTGGCTCCTCTGTAGCCACTGTTGGAGCAGTTACAGTGGAAGGTGCTCCATGACTGAGTACATCTACCTCCATGTTCACAGTGACTGGGGGAGCACCTGAGAGACAGACAGAGACACAGTTACAGACAGAGAGATAACCTGTCAAAACTTCAGTAAAAAGTTTCTCAAGGATGTTGAAATGAAAAGGAACAACAGGCCTTCAGCACACCTGACTGTTCTGGTGAGCAGGTGTGTAGGAGGGACCGGAATAAAAGTTTTAATCTTTTAAAAGAAAATTTCACAAGTCTTTTCTTTTCATGTCAAGTGGAGCACAGGTGTATGTTGTTAGAGGTAGCTGGTTTGAAACACTTCTTTGTTAGTCCTGTTAACTAACATTGCATCAGCCAGAGACAAAACTTTTGAACTCCTACCCAACCCAACTCTCAAAGAACAAAGACACATTATATAATTTATTTTCATGTTTCTGGGCGGTAAAAGAGACACAGTTTTTCAAGATATGGGACCAGATTTCTTTTCTTCATCTCCCATCTGCTGAGCTGCTCCTAAGACGCACACAGGACACGTTTTTCTTTTGCTTAGGCATCAACTTTGTAGCTGCTGTATTGTGTAGCAGTGTCCTACAAAATTATGTGTTTTTGTTTGATTTTCTGTATAAAGTTTTAAATTATCTCATCTGTGGCCATCACTGATCATGTCCACTAGCCTGTTCATCATGAGGGAAGGTCATTTGCTATTGAGAGCCTATAACATTGGAAGTCAGCTGCAAAACAGTTTAATTTATTGTATACTTAGCTGGGACCAAGTGCAATTAAATCAACTGTAGTTGTATTTGCAGTCGTGTGGGCAGAATGTACAACACACAATAGCACTGCATTAACAGTGATTCTGACATCCAGTAACACCCAATAAGTTTGACTCTAAAATAAATATAATTGGGCGAGCCACCCAAATATAGTAAATTATGTACCAGTGGAAAACACTAGTCCATGCAACATAGAATCAGAATCAGATTTATTGCCAAATATTTTCACAATCAAGAATTGGTAGAAGAGAGGACCTCGGTATTTTGGTGTATAACAAAAACCTATTAAGAGAGCAGAAGTTCTACATATATAGTATATAAAATTGAAACATTTATAATTAAATTGGAAAACAAAATTATAAAATATGTCAAATATCAGTTTATTCCATGGTCTGAGTGAATACTCAATTCTGATTGGCGGCAGGTTGTCCGTTAATTCCTGATGTAGGAACCCCTTAGTAGTTCCAGTGATATCTGTTCACCGTTTTAAATTAATGCACCAAAATAAATTAAATGAAACATTTTACAACACTGTGAAGTCCTTCAGTGCCTCATCCTCTGAACACAGGATGGCAACTGTAACACACGAGCCCCTACACTGCCTCTCTGAACTTACTGATACTTTTAATTAGTGATCCCACATCTATTCCACTCTGCCGCATGTACACATGCCCTGTCGTTTGTTCATTAAAATCTTGATGCTGATTTGGGGACAGTGACATATCTGGATAGCTAACTAGCCTTGCTGTTAAACATACTGTCAAATTACATTTACTGTTTGTCAACCGTATGCAGTGTTACTGACTCTGAATCTAGCTAGCATAATGTTAGCTCTTTGGCTTGTAGCTGAGTCAAAGGGCTCTAATGTTATGAGTGTAAATAACTTCCATTGCCAAGTCCTATCCAAGGTTCATCTTATTTACTTAAGTAGTGGACAATGTTTCCATTGCATTAGAATTAGACAAAGCCCTCAAGTGTTGCCTTGTGAAAAACTTTAGATGTTGATTGCAAAACATGGAAATATAATAATTATTTTTCTTTGGCAAGTAAATATGGTATACACAGGATAATGCCCTTCAAACTGTCCATAATCAGGACGGACCTCCCTGTCGATCATTAATTCCTGATAACGGTGGCCTAATCAGGCTTAATCCTTTACTTAAAGTGAAAAGAGCTGTACGGTGTTTGAAACAAAGAGGATAAAATGTGCAAAACATTAACCAAATAATGTGCAAATGTTCACAATATTTGGTCAATGTATAAAGAATATGTGCAATTGTGCAAACAATTTCCATTTCTATTTCCATTTCCATTTCTCATTTCTCATTTCCATTTCTCATTTCCATAGGTCATAACTGTGTTGCTCAGAAACAGCTTGGGTTCAAGTTTATTTCCTTTAACCTTCTATATTACTGAACACTAATATAGTGTATGGTATAAATAGGAAATAAACTTGAACCCTTTTGGAATGTTTAGTGTAAAACAGTTGAACTGAATTATGTATTTGTTGACTCTCAGGTGTGAAAACTAGTTCAGCAGCAGACTTTTTTAGATAGTCACTGTCAACACACAATCACACTCATACATGTGTCCTTCTACACTTAGCATAACATTTACAATCATAACCTCATACCCTCAACCATTAATCTAACATTAACCAAATGTCACAATGGTCTAAAAAGTACAAGAGAGAATAAACCCACTCAAAATATTTCTCGAGTAAAGTAAGGTATCTAAAAGGATGAAAGACAGGTGCCTTCAGAGGATTTAGGAATTAGGATGGTGCAGGATGGAAGGAGAGAGAAGCAGAGAAGATGGAAAGGAGGAGGTGAGCCAGAGGGCTGCGGGATGGAGGGAAGGATTGGAGAAGAGAGCAGCAGCGAGCTGGAAGCAGCAAATGGGTATCAACTGTGTCTGGACAGTGAACCTGAGGGAATGAGGTCAGGGGACTGTAGCTAGAGAGAGACAGAAAGAGAAAATGTGTACACACCATAGAGTTAAATAATGATGGTGGTTCAAACCATAGCAATCAATAACAATGGATGAACTGCTTTCTTACTGCCAAAGTGATTTTGATAAACAAGAGGTTTGATCATTAGAAGAAAACACAAGTGAAACTCATAGCCAATCAAGTTATTTCTTCAAAGTGCAGCCCACGTTTTATGGTTACCAATCCAGTCCAAAAACATCTGATTGTTTGTTTAAGGGGATCATTTGGAATCTTTTCCCATATTGGGAGCTTTCTCACATGTACAATCCTACAGATCCATCCTGTTATTTTAAACCTCTTTAACATTCACTCATTTGAAGATGACTAATCATCAACATTGTGATATGAAGTCAACATTATTGACCCCAATTTCCTCTATAAATGAATTAGAGGCGAAACACATACAATACCGCAATTTACCAAGAGGCTTTCCCATGCAGGCTCCAGAATGAATGCCTGCCTGGAAAAAATACTTTATCTTCATTGTAAGAGCAGACAAGAAGAGCAGGTAGACAAATGTCTGTGCATGCACCCATTTTGCTGTATTCTTTTTAACATCCACTTTATCCCTACTCCCACTGCACTTGGCAAAAGTTGGGAAAATTTAACTTTTCTTGGCAAGAACCATCTGTAGCCACAGTGGGCGACTCTTTCCAGCAGCGTTCGTGGAGTTTTTTGTCATTGTCTCAACATCCAGCTCACTGTCGGCAGTGTATGCAGCCTCAAAGAGGAACACAGAGAGAAAATTACAGAGAGGCTTAGAAACAGAACCCTGGGTCAAATGGACTGCAGCCTGTATCACTAAATCTACTATAAATCTTTTCAGGGCTAAAAGTTTCATGTTTTGCAAGCACTTTGTCCTCTATAAATCTCCGGAGGGCTTCTAGCTTGACTAACAATTTGCAATGCAACGTGACAGCGTACTGAACCACAGCTCAGATCACAGGACTCCTGGATTAACTGAACGAAGAGACTCTGTAGCTTATCTTAAAGTTTCTAGTGCGGTGTGACAGTGTCCTATAACGTAGCTTGGATCACAGGGCTTGCATCCAATCTCCCCGGTTTCTATTACTGCCTCTGGCTAAACCAACACAGCACAGTGCCTCCCCCGATCTGCACACAATTACTGGACAGGTAGACTGGGATGTCCTACAAAGACTTCAAATAACTGCAGTCTGCTGAACAGCATGAGAGAGAGAGAGCGAGAGAGAGAGAGAGAGAGAGAGCGAGAGAGAGTCATTTTATCCTTTCAGTCTGCTCTGCACCTGGTCCTGGGTATGCTGCCACATCTCACACACACACAGGAGTGACACAGGAGTGTGAAGGGTACAATGTGTCTATTTGAGTCCCTGGTCTTAGTGAGTAACAGACATGTCATAAAGTCACTGGCAGACAGATATGTCAGACACAGCAAGAAGAGAGGTCCTCTTGGTGACCTGTGTTTCTTTTTATTTGTGGATGTGTGTGTTTTGACAAGCTGTATTATTAAGTTGACAAGAATGGGACAGAAGCAAAGAGGTTAGAATTACTGCCTCCTGACAGCTTAATCTATCTCGCTTCAAAACATACAGTCATACAGTGTGGAGAGAGGTCAGTGAGAGGGAGTAGTAAGTTCAGAGAATTCGCAGCCTTCGACAGCAAATGTGTCCTAAAGGTGTCAGTATGCTTCAAGCAAAGTGCTTGTTGGATTGGTGAATGTATGAAACCCCACTCCCATGTCCTATTTTGAGGCTGTGTCCAGCAAGTTTTGTCATTTTCCTGAACTTAAATAAAAAAAAAAAACTGAGAGAATGTCTGAAACTGTGCACCATTATCCCCATTTGTATGATTAATTGTGGCATACCCCTCTCTACAAAGGCAGACTTTTCACAATGCCTTTGAGCATGGCCTTTTGCAATAGCTATTAACCTGTTTGCCAATATATGTGGTCAAAAGGAACTAGTTTATGTATTACATATCGGTCCAGCAATCTTCCAGTGACAACAAGGATATTACTGCACCCAGGTAAGAAATAGTCTGCCACATAATCCTGCAAATACACTTTTTTTTTACTGATTAAACAAAAAAAAGTTTTTCCCACTATGTCGATTCTATTCCTTTTAAAGGTCTTCCTGAGTTTTCATTCTTGTCATTTCTGGTGTCCTTCATAATGTGTTTTGCACAATATTTAAGGACCAAAGAATGAATCCAAGATAAAAAAACACAAAGGTGAAAAAAGGTTCTGGAAGAGCTGTCAGAGTAAGCATTGAATGTCATGGAAACGCAGACATTCAGTGCAACAACAATGGAATACTTAATTGCCGCTTATTAATCAGCAGGGCCTGAAGTCTACCAACAATCCCTGATTGTATAGCTGTGCCCTGTTGTGGTATGTTTAAAGTATGAGATCAAGCAGAAGAAGACACAATACATTTGCCTCTCAGTGCTAAGTAATGCATTTAGTAGCACATACAGGAAGTATTTCAGTCTCTCCTCAGGAATACATTGAGGTGTAGCCAGTGTGGTACAGTAAATGGCCAAGAATGAAATTAATAAATGGCTACGTGGTGCTTCCTTTTCAATCCCTGATTTCTCTTTTCAACATGATTTTTTTTCATTCTGTGTTATAAACTGTAATTTTGCCACCCCAGAGAGCTGGTTCAGATCTGTATTCTTACGTAATTTTGTGTGGAAGAAGGCGTGTGGATTATAAGAAATATCCTCCTCCAAAACTTTTCCTTGAATAAAAATCCCCAGTCAGCAGGCGGTCAGATGGTATATTTTGATACCCCTTTAATGTACAATGACTGCCATTAAAGGCAATATTTTGTACTAACCTTTCCTTCACCTCACCACTTTAGAAATTAATGTGTATTATATTTCTACCTGTGCACTTTTTGAGAAGTGTGCATGTGTGCTGTACATAAAAATCATACAACACACACATTACAAAGAACATGTAAATACATCTATATTACATACATGGGTTTTAAAACACACAAATATGCCTGTAAATGCAGTAAACTGTAAAATAAGAGTCCAGACTGCACGCTGCTGCACTCTCCAGGGTCCTGATCATGCAGTTAGTCAGCAGCAAGGCAGCCGTCCAAGGAACCAGCCTCTGTCCACACCGACGGCCACTGGGACATTCCAGCCAATGAGTGCCATGTCTAATATTGATTTCATCTGTTTGGTAGGTTAAATATCCCTGTGCTGCTTTGTTCTGGTTTCCCGGTCTTGAGCACACCTCCCTCGATTACTCCTTTGTTTATTTTGTGTCTCAGACAGATCACTTAAAATATAAGCTGATATTCTATATTTTTGTTATTATCAATACATCCCATTAAAAAGTGTGAGAAATTATTGCTGTAATGTGAGCCTTTAATTCTTTTTGGCCGCTCAAAACACAGGCACCGAACTGGCTGCCTGATTTTTTTTTTGTGACAGCTGAAAACAGACAGGAAAGGGGGGAGGAGAGAGGGGATGATACGCAGCAAAGGGCCGCAGGTCGGATTCAAACCCTGGGCCGCTGCAGCAAGGGCTCAGCCTCGGTACATGGGTCGCCAGCTCTACCCACTGACTGGCTAACCGGGCACCCTTCCTGATTTAAAAAGTTAACAGAAGCTGTCAATCAAGGTACAAGGAGGTCTGTGTGGAAAGTGACCAATCATAAGAGGGCCAGTGCCTCCTACTGTACCCAACTTATCAAAAGTTAGGATGATTCGTGGAAGCAGTACTTCACTTTGAGAGAGGAGTTTATCTGTGAAAGTGTGTATGCCTCCAGTGCTCGCCAAGGCAGAAGTCTCTCGCACATAGTGGCTGCCTTGTTCGCTTTCTCCTTAGTTGCACACACACAGATGCTATTCTCTGCCTCTCCATTATGTCTTGTTTTTTTGCTCGCAGCTGCCTATACAACTCTTGGTTGTTGAATTTCTGTGAGGAGGACTTAATTGTTCAAGTAGTCGTTAATATTCCGTCCTGTGTAGTAATATAAATTTGCTCGCAAGCATGTTTTGTCATGTTTGTGACATGACATATAAATCTAACACCATTACTCAGCCCCAAGTCCATTTGTTACTATTGATAAATGGAAATCTTTACGAATGCATTATGAATATATACTTAAATTTTTTTAAGTGTATTTGTTGGACACTATTTTCCAGTTGTTGACTATGTGTGTGTTTGATGAAAATAAACGTAGGAAAATGTAATCCAATGCAAAGGTTTGGCTCATTGATATATCTTAAATATGTTTACATACAGACAATTATATTTTTAGTAGATCAACTACTTGTTTGTTTTGTTTGTTTTTTCTCATGGTACTGGAAGATTAAAAAAATGACAGAATGTCACCAGACTTATCCTTTAAATCATTATTCCCTTTCTGAGTCATAGAATGACATTTGCCCGAGTCTAGTTAATTAGCCTTGTTGATGTTGTTGTGGTATTGTTCAACAAAAGTAACTTAGCGTCCTGGACTTACCGCCCCCCTTGTTCCTATGCAGTGCTTGGGTATTTAATTATATGTTTTTCAAAACAAGTGGTGCCTAACCAGAAGCCAAAATGCAAAATAAACGAGGGCTTATCCCTGAATGACTCACTTTGAACCAAAAGCAAGCAGCAGGCATCCAATTCAAGACGCATGTCGAAAAATGTGTTGTGTTATAAATGAAGAAAATAATTCAGAAAGGTACTGACCGCTGTCGATTGAATGGCACCACATATCAATCAGCCACAGTGGCTGTAGTTTCCCCCGCCAGCCTTTTGCTGT